AGCAATGTAACCATGTATGATTAACTTACTCCTGCACATTTGTATTATTAATGCATTTCTTTAGAATCTAGTTTGGATGAAGAGTAAAAAGTGATCACTGTAAGCATTTGCCAGATAAAGTTGAAACTATCCCACACTAAGCTGTTTAGATTTATCACAAGAGACAGGAAAACAAAGCACTTAAGCCATTTTCCAACTTCAGTCCACTAACTATGGAAAGCAGCATTTTCATTATGGCCTAAGCCTGCTTGCGTTGAAGTCAATGGATCAGACTGATCTTCATGGGAGCCCCATCCAAAGGATCTGTCTACAGAGCAAGCCAAGCTGCAACTGGCTCATGCTGATGCAACCAACCTGTTTTTAAAAAAAAACAAACATTTGGTGTGGATCCTAACATAGCTGCAGTGGCATAGAGCTCACTGAGGGCTGCAACACCCAACCAAGACCCTGCATAAAAACATTTGCTTGCACGGATTTTCATGCTGCTGCACTACATGGCAAGCTGAAGATAGCTGAGATATGCCTACACAAGCCAGACTAGGCCTTTGCTACTGAGTCTAAGCACATGTTTATACTTACCCCTTGCTGCTGATCTGGATTCAAGGGAAGCCTCAAAGCCACCCTTGACTTGCTCTTACCCAGGATCAGGCAATTATTTTGGGCGGAGGGCCGCTTACTGAGTTTTGGCAAGCCATTGAGGGCCGCATGACAGGCAGCCCAGGGCAGATTAATATTAAATTTTCTAAATTTTTTTTTAGGGGTCCCGCGGGCTGGATAGAGTGGCCTGGTGGGCCGCATCCAGCCCCCAGGCTGCATTTTGCCCACCCCTGCTCTTGACCCATGCTACAGAGAGCAGCTATGCGGAGAGCCTGATTAGGCAAGCGATTCATCTTGGAATCAAGTAAATACAGTGCTTGTTGGCAGCAGTCTCAAGAGCAATGCAAGGACCCTCTGGAAATACCATAAGTCCTCAGAATTAATTGAGCCAAATAAGTTAATGGAAAAGCTAGTCAAACTTCCACAGGAGCTCCAAGGCTTGATACCTGCATCGACTTTGAGAACTGGCTAAATGTACCTCCGCCCCACAAGACTTTTTTGTAAAACAAGTACATTCTGGGAGTTTGCTGTGCAGCAATGGTGGGGCTTGAGGTTATTCACAAACAAAAAAGATAGACAATTTAAAAACTGAAGACAATCCCACAATCCCAGCCAAAGCTGACTGATCAACACAAGCCACTGAAAGACAAAAATGAACCACTAAGGGAGATGACACAGACTAGAAATTAACCAAAAGAAGAGTCTGGCACCTGGGCACACACATGAAGATCTCCAAAGCAAGGGAACAGAGAGAAAATGGAGATGCAAAACCTGCAGGTGAAGTTTTTCATTCGCCTTTTTTTTAATTAAACCTAAAATGATTTCAAGCATGTAACTTTTTGAAAAGAGATCAGTCTTTGAAACGAATTTCCCCATCGAGAAAGGCCGATTGGCTCTATTCCCTTAATAAATATTATGAGGAAATTGCCCATCATGGTAAGAAGCAGTTCACCCAACCTAAACATTGCCCATTTTAACCTACTAAGGACTGGCACAGAAAATGTTAGATACCTCAAATCAAGCACCTATGTATCTTCAACTGAGGGGGCAAAGAAACAGGAAATGACTGAATATTGTTAAAAAAGGGATGAAATTCCTGAGGCAAGATGCTGCCTACAAAGATCCACCCTTTTTTGTTTTAAGAAAGAGAGACCTATTCTTACACTAGGCATCCCAAAAGGCATGATTTCTATATGTTCTCTTTATATCCGGCAAAATGCTCTGGCATCTGTATAAAATAGTCCTATAAACATAAAATAATTAGTGAACTATTTACAAAAAATGCTCAAAGAAATGCAGGTGTATTCTTCACAACAAGATTACAGCAACATTTGCATGTCTTCTTCACTGACAGTAACCCTGTTCTATGTTACAGAAGGACATCCAAGGAAAGAAAATCAGTTACTTATTTAGTATCATTATACTAGAAAGATTTTAGGACCTTTGTCTTTGAGTTTGTGAAATGCATGTAGAGAACTTTGGGCAGGGTGTACGTAAAGTAATATTGATCAATGTATATTGAAATGTTTTTCTCCTATGAATTCACAGAAAAGAAAATTAAAGGAAAAGTATATCCATCAAAATTTCCCTTTCCTCTAAGTGCTGGTATTTTCTGCACTGTGCATCTAAGAAGCTGTAATAAAGTACTGGAACATAAATACCAAACAGGTCCCTAAGGAAGTAGGAAATGCAAGTAAAAAAATAAGTTAACATTTATCAAAACATTTTACACCAAGCAGTCTGCATAACATTTAAATAGCTTTTCCTTGGAAACCCACTTTCAGTCAGCATTTACCCTTTTCCAAATGTTCATGCAATGTAAATTTAACAACTATTTAGAATAGGTGCTGAAGTTGGAAAAAAGAGTTTGCAGCTGGTTTTGGTACCATAGGATTTTTTTCCCTGATATCAATGCCTTTAAAGGAGCTTGCGGTATGTATTGGGTACATCTGCTTTTAGGACAATACTCTACTGCCTGGTAGCTCTTGATTTTGACAATTTTCTCCCCCTGTTTGAGCGAATACTTCTGGAATTTCAACATGTGCAAGGAAACAGACTCAAGAGTTGAGATCTGCCATGCATCCAAGATCAGAACTCAACCTTTTATGTTGTACTGTAGACTGCACATAGAGCAGAGTGAAAAGAGAGCCGTGTGTTCCATCAGGTTCTCACTGAAACAGCATGGAATAAATTTTGAACCTGGGGACCATAAGCATTGTCCTTTAGTACCTACTAAAAGACCAAGGGTAAAATTCACCACTGTTCAGAGCTGGCACAAAGTGTAAGCCATATTTGGAATTTGGGAGGAAGCCTGGGCCATTAACCAGTGGATTTGGGGAGAACTGGGTCCATTCCTGCCACACACCACACATCCTGGGATAGCTTGGGTAAGCAGTTCAGACAGTGAACCATATTTCCTCATTTATAAAACAACAAATAGTACCTCCTAGGAATGCTGTTGGGATTGTGAGTAGCTTAAGGTGTTGTTAGATATTACCTTTCCCATGTGTTAAGTGCTCTTAAGACAGAAATGCCTGCATGTTAAGGCAAAGAAAGACAATCTAGGTGCCCTCCGAGCATCTTAAAGTAGGACTTAGGACAATGATTATTTTCTTAGGACAATGATCATCTTCAGCTGGTGTCAGGCAGTTTGTGTTGCAGCAATCTGAAGTCCTTCAGTATCCTAGTCATTTGGTATGCTGCACTGCTCCAAATACTCTCCCCACCAGCATGTGGATGATCAATCATCTGGAACTCCACTGCCCCAGACTATCAGGTGAGTGGGGAGCCATGGAGGGAGGGGTGGAGTCAGGCAACCACAGGGTAAATTTGGCAGCTCCAAGCCACACTGGCTGCTTGCCAGCCCTCTAATGGCAAGTTAGAGAGAGCGCTAACTAGGCCTGTGCAAAGTGGCTAGTATTTGCTTCGGATTCAGGCAATTAGGGGAGCAGTGATTCCATTCAGCGATTTGAATCACTGTCCTGAATCAATTCGGCTGAATCTGATTCAGAGATTTGGCCACTGCTGAACTGGCCGAATCTTGGAATCGAACAGGCCCCATCCCCCACCCGCTCTCCCAGCCCTGGCAATGGCTGCCCTGCCCTTTTTTTCCCCCCCCCCCTAAGCCCCAGACTCATGAGCTCCTGCCAGGTGGAGGGCCATCCCCTGCTGCCCTCCACTGCACAGGGGGGAGGTGCTCTGCCACGAGCCCCTAGAGGCCCCAACAGCTGCTACTGCAGCCGTTGAGTGCAGGGCTTTGCTTTGGTTTTGTTTTGTTTTGGTTTTTTTTAAGTGCCAGGACACTGGGGCTAGGCAGGGCAGCCATTGACAGGGCTGGGAGAGCAGGTGGGGGTCAGAGGATGAGGCCTGGTGGGGGTCTCCCCATGGTCCAAATTTCAAAATCTTCTCTGAATATTCCTTAGAGTTAGCACACATGATTGTAACATGTAGCAACACTCTTAGACATGATGCTAATGGAGGGCAGATGCACAACTTAGATAATGCCTAGGGGTGAAAATCTTCTGTTTTCTCATAAGCAAAACTAAGTGGGAAAGATTGTTAGCATGTAGCTAAGGTGTAAACTTCAACTGATAAGATTACACTGGTATAACTCACCCATCTGGACTTTCTTAGCCTCTCATACCAGCATATCTGCCTCCTTCCACCCTCCTGAGTTTAGCCTCTCTCATTTGGGGAGCGATTTATGCAAAACTGAAAAAAAAAAAAAGTGACTTATACTAAAAGAAAAACATCAACACTGGAGGTTATACCAGACTAAATGCGTGTAGACCAGGTTTTAGAGCTTAATTCTGTTTCCCAGGGCAGGTTATATGCTCCACTGAGTGCAAACAGAGAACAGGACATTTCAGATCCTACATTAAGCTTACCTTGGAGAAATGTCAGAAGTTGTGAGAGTCTAAGAATACCATCTCCCTAGAATACCAAAAGACTTTTTCCTGCATCATTTTTGAAGGACTTGAACACTGAAGTCAACATCAAGTCTCTCAAGGCCGAACTCTCCTCTAATTTAAACTGGCCTAAGAGAGGAGCAATTTTACTACCTTCAAAGGAGTTAACTTGGTGTTACACTGGTTTGAGAGGGGAAAATTGGTCCATACTTGTTTTAGGATGCAGACTCTCAAATATTTCTCCTAATAACCCTAACTCTTTTCAGTCCTGTTTTGACTATTTCTGATACTAAGAGGTAGGAAAAGCTTTCTGGAAATGCCCACACAAAAAGCCATTGAAAACTTACACTTAAAAGATTTAAGCAGCTATAGCTGAAAAGTCTCATTTCCATTTGTACCATTTGCATACTAGAAAAGTGAATTAGTCTAAGAACAGCTAATATAAACCTTCCAAAACTATCACAGCAATGTTACATTTGAAAGCATGACTACCTAAATCATTCAGAAATTCAACATAAATAAAAATGGAACTTCATATTTTTCTTTAAAAATGTAAATCTTTTAGCTATTGTTTAAACAGATGGGAAATTATTTTATGATGAGGGGCTTTTTTGTGGTATAGCTCCCCTCACCAGAATGAAGAATCTGATTCTTGTTAGAGTTGATGCTGTAAGCCAAAAAAAAGTTAATCGGCTTAGTGCCGTTTGGCATAGCGGAGCAGCCACACAGTAAGGCAAAAATCCTGCTCCGACTGTTCTTTACCTGCACAGCTTTGACTTACCACTAGAGGTTTGGTGAACAGGGACAAGACAAGTAGCAGAACCCCACTCATTGTTCCCACTGGACAGAGTAGGCCCACCCCCATGTAAGTTGCAGCAAGACCAGAGTCCTGGGGAAGCAGCTCTCTGGTCTCACTGAAACTGATATAGCAGCTCTGCCCCAAGAGTGGGGCTGTTGGGCTTAAGCCCTGGCAGCCCTGCTCTCAGTGCAGAGCTGCCACGGCTCTATGATATGAAGGTGCATCCCAGCTTTCATGCCTTAAGGTCTTGGGGCAGAGCAGCTGTCAGTTTCACTGTGACCAGAGAGCTCCAGGGCTGCCAGCCAGCTGGGCGCTGTCTGAGCTCCGAGGGGTCCGATCCCTTTTCCTCCAGAGGTTAGACAGCACCTGTCCCCTGTCACCACTGGTGGGAGCAGAGCCAATCCAGGTGGTGGTGGGAAACACCGTGGCCGCCGGGCGCTCCAGGACTGCACAGCTTGCTCTGCCTGACATCCCCAGAGGATAAGGTACTGTGGCCCAGCATCTCAGCTCACACTGAGTCAGAAGCAGCTGCTGCATTCTGGGATATTGAAAAAATTCAACTTGGGTGGAATAGCTGTGGGAAGCGGCCACTCTGTAACAGAACAGGAACTAGGTGGATAGGAGATAATCCTGCCCCCGAGTGGTGTAACTTTAAGACAAATAATAAGCGCTTTAAGCCACTTATAAGGTGTTAATGCAAAGCCAGTCCAGGTGTTAAGAGCTCCAGAAGCTGTCTAAACTTACTGTGTAACACGGTCCTAAGAATGACATTAGCATTGCAGCATGTGCTCTGCCTGAAACAGAGTCCCTGGGGAGTAAATTCATAGGGCAAATGGAAGGACCTTGACAAGGCCTAGTCTCATAGCAGCATAGAAGATTAACTGGCACACAGAGGCTCTTTTCTTTCTACGCAGTTATGGAGGAGGAAAAAAAAAAAAGGTGTCCCCAGCTCAGGTTACAGTGTTGGTCAGGACTATGCCAGTCTTGGCTTTTTCCCTGTGATCCCTTCTTGTGTTGTTAAGGTCAAACAAATTGACTGATGCAGAAGCAAGGCTGGGAATCCCACCTTAATTTTCATTATTTCTGCCTCACTGATTAACCAAATGAAATAGGTCAGGGTCCCAAAGATATAGCTTTCATCTCTGCAGCAGCTGTCCAGCTCTTCTTTAGCTGAACTCGCCGTCATTTACAGCTGTCTGAATCGAGGTCCATCCTTCTTTCTGGCTCTGGTGGTGCCGAATATGTAGCCTCCACACTGTGCCGCATTCCATATGCAAAGTAAATAAAGAAGCCTGGGGGGAAGGGGGAGGGAATATTAGCACTTTAATGAGCTGGAAGCCACTTCTCATGCTTGCCAACCATATAGTCTCACTGAAATGTATTGGAAAGTTAAAGACGTAAACCTTGATTTAAAAAAGAAATCTCCAAGGTACTTCACCCTTCTTACTGGAGACCTAAGAACTCTCCTCTTCCAAAAGCACCAGCATGTAACACTTAAGCTAGTGAAATAGTTCCAGTACCTGTTACCAAGAGATAATACAAATCCTGCTAAAATACAGGGTGCTGACAGATGTGCAGCTCCCTGTTCTAATTCATGGCACTTCACAGAAAGCACCATGAGTTACAGCTACCCCCCACCCCCAACCCAACAGACATTCGTTCGGG